AAAAGTTGTTTTGCTTTATATTTTTTTGTTTGACTCGCAATTAAATATTATTTATAATTAATTTTTAAAAGATGTTTTGGAAGCGAAATATTGATTCAACTAAACGGGCAGTACTTATAACAGGTATTAATTAATTATATAAACTGTATAACTATTGTATTTTTCATTGTCTCTTACTTTCCTTTATTATAAAAAAATTATAAAATTATTATTCATTATAATTCACTTTTTAAAAGTATAGATATTAATTATAATGCTATTTAAGCATAGTATATTTAATAATTAAAAATGTTAAAACTGTTAAATTGACATAGATTTAGACATGTATCATTTATATTAATAAATATGCCTTATACATTGTATATCATTATTATATTAATGATTTACTTTAATTTTAAATATGATTTGATTTAATATAATTTAAAAATCCTATTTAGGCTGTGATTCAGGTTTTGGTAATCGTCTGGCCTTACGGTTGAATGACATCGGGTTCTACACATACGCCGCAGTCCTGAGCGCCGACAGTCCCGGTGCCCAAGACTTGAGCACAAAATGCAAACACGCGGACAGTATGTATGTACTGGAAATGGATGTCACGCGGGACGACCAAATCGACCGGTGCTTCGAACAGATTAAGGTAGACCTAAACGTTAAAGGCTACGAGTTGTGGGCAGTGGTGAACAACGCCGGTATCGTAAGCTATGGTAACCTGGAGTGGGGCTCAATGGAGGAGTACATCAAACTGTTTGACGTCAATGTGTTTGGTGTGGTTCGGGTCACCAGGAAATTCATACCACTGTTGAGACAGTCGAGGGGTCAGCCATTTCATTGTCATTTAGAGTTACTGTATTATTTATTATAACTGCATATAAAGTATAAAACTTAATATTTAACAAAACTCTGCTAATAATTCAGTATTATGCATACAGTTACACATAATGTGTGTTAATAATATAATTTAGCATCAGGGTTTAACTTATATTTACAGTAGTATAAAGGTACTGGATATTTTATGTATACTAATGTCTAAATTTTATGATTAAATTATAGGTCGCATAGTATTGACGGCGAGCCTCGGGGGCCGACTGTCGGCCGACTTGTTGTCCGCCTATTGTATGACAAAAGCGGCGGTCATATCATTCTCGGACGCCTTACGCCGGGAAATGCATAAATTCAAGATACAGGTGACCACTATAGAGCCCGGGGTGTTCAAGACTGGCATGTATTATACGGTCGTCGATATATTGCAGAGGAACTGGAGTCAAACGGATGAAAGTGTGCGACAAATATACGGAGAAAACTATTTCAATGAACTCATCAAACGCTACTCAAAAGGCAATAGTCATGGGGTGGGAGCTGATGCCGGCGCCGATATCGACAAAGTAGTCAACGATATGGTAGATGCGGTCATCAGTAGGCGTCCCAACCGGTACTACCGGCCCGTCAATGGACTCCTACCCTCATTAGCCGCTAGGTTTGTGTCGATTATACCGCAGTTTTTCATTGACAGGTATTTCTATGCAACCGAT